AGTGTGTGTGTATATAAGCCAAGCCTTTTGAAGACCATTAGTTTTGTTTACATTGTGACATAATTTTTATGACATTTAAGTACTTAATGGTCCTAAATACAGGCTTTATGCTATTTCTGTGTAATATAATTCCTATTTCTTTCTTTTGATTTTTGCATTGAAACATGGCCCAGGTATGATCTGTTCTTGTCAGGTTTCCAACTAGAGATCAACTAGATGATCTTAGACAGGACAAAGATCACGCAAGAAGCTGCAAACTTCATTCACACAGCAACGCCCAGGCAACTTAAGATTCTCTGGTATACTATACTAACAGCTTTTATTAAGCTCACAAGAAGAGTTGACTCATTCTGGTGACTTGTGCAGACATGTTTGGTTGTCATGGTGAGAGATCGGCACAGATCCCAGGAGGTGATTCATATGTGACAGAGATTTGGAATGCAGGACAGAAGATATGTTCTCATGCAATTTCAATCACACACCACAGATGTATTGTTGAGTGTTTCATGGTTTGTATAGGAATTTATCTTGTCTGTGCAAGTGATGTGTGTGTACAAATACTTATATCCTGAACCTACCACATGCTTTGACTTGACGTGGGAGAGTGAAAGGAGTGGCATCAGTATGAGACTCTCCCAATGATTTAACTACAATATGATGTTCTACTTAAGCACTCACTCCCTTTCTCTCTTGCTCTCGACATTTCTCACACTAACACGCACACACACACACACACACACACACACACACACACACACACACACACACACACACACACATGTCTGGTCAGCTATCCTTGTGGTTTTTCTACTGTACAGACCGTATATTCTATTGCCCTACACCAACCCTATACCCTAAACCTACCCCTCACAGGAAACTTTCTGCATTTTTAGATTTTCAAAAAACGTAATTCTGTATGATTTATAAGCTTTTGTACCCATGGGGACCACAATTTAGGTCCCCACCGTGACACGAGTCCCCATGAGTCTGTGTGTAGTCACACACACACACACACACACACACTGGACCTAATGTCATAGTGCAAGACCTTAATTGAAGTCTGACTACATTTTCTTCAGAAACTATGCATCAAGAACAAAATTAGAAATGGATCACATCAGCAGCAGTACAAATAGCTAAACAAATATTCCATCTCCCTCACATAAGTATTTTTCTTTAATAGTCAGAAATTTGTTAGTGTGAAAGCTTATGATGAAGGTCTTATGGTTCTAGATTTGGCATTTTTTGAAACATCAGTAGACTGCCGTGTAATACTGTTTGTTTGTGAAACTTTTTGTGCAAAAAGGGATAGTTCATCCAAATATGTTTCAACTGAACAATACTGGACTACACTGACTTTTATTGTATCAATCAGTCAATCAATATCTTTTTTCAAAATATGTTTTTTTTGTGTTCCACAAAAGCCATACAGGTTTGGAACAACGTGGAGGTGAGTAAATGATGATATAACTGTCATTTTGGGGTGAACTGGCCCTTTAAAAATGTACTTTATGTGGTAACATCTACACTGTACAGTAGTTTTTACAGAAAAAAGATTACACTAAAAACCTTTTAATTGGTTTAATGTAAGTCATATTATGTGTAAAAATATATAAATATTATATCTGTAAATGGTTTAATATCACATTGTGTAATTTTAATGTAAATGCTTTCATATTTATGGTTTTAGAAAGTAAAAATGATGAATTACCAAATAGTTTATTATAAAAACACTAAAAGGATATTCCCAGAAGCCACTGTCTGACACATGACAAACCATTATAATAACTACAGAAATAGTTTTGGTCTTATTTCTTATTTTTGTTACCAGTAATCTACATTAGGGTGTTTTGTGATACATTTGATGTTATTGAGTTAATTTGTATGGTATTATTTTAGTGTCATGTGTGTTACCCTGATGGTGTTTTGTGTGTCTTTGTTTGTATGATCATGTGTACAAGTACTGATCATGTTTTAAGGACAAGTCACTGAACTTATCATGGCTTTTTATTGCACCGCCTGTATTATCATGGTGTTTATCAGTACATTTTTAGGTGGAAATAAGATTTTGACATTTTGAGTTCAAGCAGAGTATGTTAACTTTATATCACTTAGTTACACACAAAAATCTTTACTTGTCACACAATTTCTGAAACCTGACACTCAAACAACCAGAACCGCACACCAAATCTGCAAAACCATACAATAATTCTCGGCCTTTGATTTCGTAAAACACTTTTTGCAAAACACAACACACAATTCTCTACGTAACACAAAAATCTAACAGGAATTAATATTATGGCAAAGGTGTTTTCAAATGTTTGCTATTTAGATGCGTTTGTGATATTTTGAATGCAGTGCTTCATTTTGCAAGAGATGTGAGGCCTTTTGCATTTTGTGTGTGCAATTCTGGGATTTGTGTGTAAAGTTTTGAAAGAAAAAGAGGCAAAGTTTTGAAAATGTGTGTAAGCAGTTGAAAAAACTGTAATGAAAGTTATAAGGTGCCAAATTTAAAAGCACCTGGTTTAGTAACTGGCTTTAGTCAAGTAAATTGATTTAATTAATGTGACTAAATCTGACTAGTGACTACAATAAACCAAGTAATGTTCTATCAATGAAAGTAATATGGATTAGGGCTGCGTTTCCCAAAAGCATTGTAAACCTAAGCTGATCGCAGCTCCATTGGTGGCAATGGGTCTATGATGCACTTAGGCTTAGGATGCTTTTGGGAAACGCAGCCCATAGGTAACCACATTTTCCACTGCTTTTTCATATTTCCAGTGAAATCTGCAATATACTGAGTAAGAAAGAGAGCATGCAGAACTGCATCTGTGATCTTAGAATAATTCATAAACTAATTTACAATCAAAAAGTGCAAAAACTTTTGATGAAATAAAGATAATGCAAATAATCCATCTTTATAATGGACTTAATATGATAAGAAAAAAACACTGAACCTTATCTCTCTGTACAAGTACTCCAGCACTCTGCTTATCCTTACAATAACTTTAAACCTGACTGTAGAGAGTTATGTAACCTAACACACACGCCAGGCAAAAAAACCTTTAGGATTTAGGCAGATCATAAAGACACCACTTCATCTCTTTCATGGCCTCTCCCAACACCACAAGACCATGGGAGTGGAATGAAGAAGAAGAGAAAGGAAAACAAAAACATACATTCTGGCACAGTGATCTCTACTGATGTTTCAAAGCATCTAGTTATGTCACACTGTTAGGGCAGGAGGAGAACGGGAACACAAATAAGCTTGAGTCAGAGTTCTAAGCAGAACTGCACCTGGTACTGCACATTTTTATAACACCCTGATTTTGGCAGACCATACGCTAGAGGCCTGACAATGACAAAGTCCAAGCTAACAACATGAAATTGTGCTGATATACTCGATTGCTACTGTGAACAAGTAATTATATTCAGCACTGTACAGACCTCTGGCCCACTATGAGAGCAATCGACTAGCAATCAATGTGGCACAATGTCAGCTCATAAATGAATGATCTCAGCCAACTGCGCAAAACCAGTTGTAATCTGAAGATGTTTATGGAAGGCCAGAGTTTGCGAGACCCAATCAACGATCAGTTATTGCATGTGCTTGTTGTATAGCCCGGACAAGTCCAGACTAATACTTCAATACTGGCCTGCCCTATACTTATGTATAAAAATGTCAATATTTGTGAGATATTTTCACAGTCATTTTCACCTAAAGAAATATTGATTTTGGCAAATATGTTTAAAATGATGTACATCATTTGTGTATACTCTAATCACATCAGTAGTCTAGGAAAAGTTATATGATAGAATCTATAATGATTATATTTACAGCATCTTTATAAATGGAATAAAAACATAAAGCAAAAACACTTTTGCACATGTTGTTCTTTAAGAGAGCAATTAATCAAGTTTACAAGATTAAAGTTTTCTTCCTTTTCTTGATAAAAATTGAACCAATCATTCAAATACTTTTCATTGGTCCTTTCAAATGAACTATAATGCAGGCATAGATTCTTTTGTTGTTGCTGTTTTTCTTAAATAAAATTTGTGTGCCATATTTCTCATCTTAACCTATCATCAAAGATCTGTGGCCCTCTAAATACAGCTTTAAATACAGCAGCTTTAATTAAAAGAGGAAGGCGGCGCACTCTAGTGAATAAATCTGTGTATTACAGGGCTAATAGTCGTTTCGGTAATTAGAGCTCTGCCTCACTTTGTCAGACAAAACGACTTTATTCTAGTCCTTTTACATTACTGTGAATAATAATAAAAAGAATAATATGAATATTAAAGATAGTAATATGCTGGCTGATAAGATAATTAGAGGAATATCAGTACATGTTAAGATTTATCATAATACTGATTACCAAAAAAATCTCTCATTTTCTTTTTTATAAAAAAGTAAAAATATAGGTTACGGTAAGGCAGTTCCATAAATGTTAAAACATTCACTAGTTTCAATAGTATAGCCACAGAATATATGCATGTTAACATGATTTTACTGTAAAAAATGCCTTGCTAATCTGTATAAAGTTCTGTATAATCTTACAATTTTGTCGCCAAGACAATACAACTCCATAAACTAGAGTTTAGCTCCATATCTAAACATTTTTTTGAAAATCTAACTACAGCCTTCAGGATTATGTAGAAATGACATGTTATGTGTTTGATTTGAGATGGTGAGAAACTCTGCAATGAAATGACTGTAAAATGTAAAACAGCTCTACAGTTCAAATAACGCATTTGTTTTACTGAAAAATCAAAACATTGGTTCGATTTAACACAACAAGTGTATTTCCATTGAAAGCACCACTCTGTAACTTTGATTTTGATCAAATACCTTTTTTTTGGGGGGGGGGATGCTTTTCACAGAAGCAGAAAAACATTTGGCTCATCTTAACAACGAATACAGATAGATTCCGATTCTCAGAATTATTTTTAAACATATTTATTGTCAAAGCACCTCTGAGTACCTCTATTATCAAACTCACCTCTGAGCTCCAGTAGAGAGGCCCTGAGTAATCTGTTCGTCCCCTGATCGTGCTCTCTTTGACTGTGTACACTCCTCTCTTCACTGCTCCTTGGTCACAGATCTCCAGTGTGGCCAGCTCCCGCATCAGGTCTGACTGACTGACCGACCTGCGCTGCCTTGACAGGGGTGATGTGCAGCTATATCCAGTCCTTGATGGTGAACGGCCCCTCTGCCCATTAATTCTGGGAATCTGACTTTTAACCTGCATCCTACTGTAGCTTTCACTCCGGCGTCCGATGTGGGGCTCTGAATGGGGTGCAGCTCGCCCATGTTCAGGCTCCTGGGGAAAGAACAGGACGCCTCGGGCGAGGCAAGGGCTGGGGTTCAGGTAGCGGGAGGTGGAAGGAGCATACCTGGAAAGCTGAGGTTGACCTCGGACAATATATCCCAGCGTGGGATCGCAGGGGTCATAGGAACTGTACGGACTTAAGAGGGTGGAGCCAGTGGTGTATTTGGGGGGTGAGTAGACTGGAGACATGATCAAGATGTGAAGCGAAATCAGCCCCAAAGTGGAGAGAGCCAAACTGTCACAAGAAACAAATCTGAAGCTGAAGCACATGAGACTAATGCTTATTAGAGATTGTGTGTACAATTTTCAGTCTCAGCAAATAATCTGTTTTAGGATAGAACTGAAACTCTTGCTCATGCAAACACAAAGACAACGTAATAAACGTGACTTGTCTCATCTTACAGTATCAGTTGTGTGGAAGTAGGACAACAGTCAACTAGAATTACTAGCAGGTAATGTACACTGATACACAAAATGTTGATGATGAGTGTTATAATTGAAAAGTATTCTAATTTTGGAGTTTTGTTGGACAAAAAGTGAAATGCAGAAGAAGAAGAGGATCTTTCAAAGACCACCGCAGCCTTCGAGAAATGGCTTAAGTCACGACTTCTCTGTGAGAACTTAACTAAACCATGAACAAAGGCACTTCCTATAAATAAACTTGGAAAAAAATATATTTTCACAAGCAAAAATTTGAGAAGGGTCTACGTCACGCAGTTGTCTAGTTACATCTACTAGTATTTGTTACATCTCCTGCAAAGAAAAACATGGCTGGGTGGATAATCATCTGAAGTACATTTATTTATTTTTATGTATGAAAAGTTTGTAAAGCAAAATTACATTGCTTTCACAGCCGATGAAGTATGAAATAAAAGCTGCAACATACAATAAATTATACAATCAAATGCAGACCTATAGTATGCTTAGCTACTCTAAACCCTAAACCTAACCCTAATCTTCCATAATATTAAAAATTACTGTAGTTTCATAATTATAAATAAAATAATAGGCTACAAACTGGAAAAACAAACAGAATGAGTTCCATAGTCTATGATATGGCTAAAAAATAAAAAAAAGTTGGTATCAGATGGTAATGATGATATCAGATTGATACTTTAAGGTAAAAATGTAATTACCATGGTGTCTAAAAACATATAAGTATTACTTTTTTTGTTTTGTTTTTTACTTGGAATTGAAAGAAAATGATGAAGACAATTAAAATAATGACGAAGGAGAAAATTATGAAAAAAGACCAGGATGCTGATGAATGAAGATGATAATAATGACAATGAAGATGATAATAATGACAATGAAGATGATAATAATGACAAAGAAGATGATAATAATGACAATGAAGATGAGGGTAAAAATGAAGAAGGAGAATATGATGATGACGGAGAGAGAGTGTGTGTAGTGATGTAAAGAACTGACTGGATGAAGAGGAATGGAGAAATGCGCATTGGCTAAGATCTGAGTAATTAAGTAATGCACTGCTACCTATTAAAGCAGTGGACGCAATCTGAGCGTGAGTCAAACAGAGACTGTTACTGTAGGATACAGCAGTTACTATAAACACTGCATTCACTGCCCACTCATTAACGCTGACTGTGGAAAACTGCCATTGAAAACGGCTGGTGGTCTCGTTAAATTGCATGAACGCTATGATCGGGAATAGACAGGGTTGGTAATAGAAGCTTAGCTGATGAGGGTAAATTATGTCACATGTTTAATCCTGCGCAAGAGCCTCCCCCATAACCCTTAAAATGCTTACCAGCGGAATTCCAGTTCATCCTCCCGAGCGACCAGCAAAATATTCCTGGATTTTCCTAAATACCACGCGCTATTCCAAGATTCAGCAGAAAATCGTAGGGCACTGGCTCAGCATTACGCACTCGATCCGTTGGTTGGAGTGGCAGCATACCAGCACAGAGTCCTGCTCGGATATTTGCGCTTTTCTCAAGTCAGGATTTAAGGAACCGCCTCCCAAGCGGTCGCCATAGCAACGCGGATCGCTCTCTCTCTCTCTCTCTCTCTCTCTCTCTCTCTCTCTCTCTCTCTCTCTCGCGCGCGCGCGCCAGTTCTCTATCTATGGCTTGCTGCAGAAGTCATGACTAATGCACTATAAATAGAAGCAGAATCAATGTGAATTGCTCACTTTATTCTCAAATAAATCATATCAGATTCAAAACAAAACAAAACGAACAACCCCTAGAATAAGAAAACATTGTTACAGTAAGAATGGACATCAAGGGTTTGGTAACCAATCAGCTGACTACGCTACCAATGGTTTATGGCAGTCCCAAACCTACAGGAAATGCAGTATATTTCAGTTGTGTGGTGTCATGAGCAAAGTGATTAGAAACAGTCCTTGAATCTTCCATTAATATCATCATCATCACCATGAGGTATGAGTGATATTGCCAGATTAAATTGCAAATGGAGTTGATGACTCTAACAATCCACTTTATGTCAGTGATTCATACAGTACATTGAGTATTTATAGTACAGGGCAAAAGTGTTCACATCCATCAAACATGGCCTACTATATACAGCTTAAATAAGTGATGCTTGAAAAGTTGGCTACTCAAGAACATGTGTGTGTTGGTACCAAACACTATTCACTCATTTGTATTCGCAGGAATACAAAGCAACACAAATGCTGGTTGGCATTTTGATCTCAGCAATACTTTAGTATGGCAAAAAAGGGGTTTAAATAAGAAACAAACGGGCATATTGAGAATTATGCATTTCATCAAATCAACTAAATCAAAAACATTACAACAACATAACTGGTGTTGAGAATTATCATCCATTCTTGCAACACGTGCTTTCACGTTTCAGTGATTTTTCAGGAAAATTCATCATCTAATAAGTAACGCTTGCTAATCTGTAATTAGTGGTTGTGAAATTCTATTACTACGTTTCAAAGTGACAGTTTGCTTTTTTTTTTGGTTTCTGGCATTTAGATGTGCCAAAGAAAAGATTTGGGATTTTTCAGGGTCTGAAGGGTGTCAGGTTATTATATTGGACCGAGGCACATTGTTTATGTCTGAGATATCCAGCTGGTGAAGGATCACTTGGTTGCATTTGATCACAGTTTTCACTTCGATGAAGGGAACTGCTCAGAGGTGGTCCTCACTGCAGGACTGCTGATGCATCAAATGCATATCCCCTCACTGGCTCCTTTTCGCTTTTCTCCTCCCTTTTGTCTGTATACGCCTCTGTCTCCCTTGACCTTGCTTGGTGTGTGTTAAGAGAAAAAAACTGAGGTGTGTGTTTGCAGTAAGATGTTGACGCTTACAACAACAGCTGCCAGAAGAAGCAGGGGTTGAAGGTCAGTACTCATACTGGTGACTGTTAAGAGAAAATGAGAGGAGGGATTCATGAGAACAGAGGGTCAAGGAGTTTACAATTTGAGTGAAGTCATGAAGAATGCTCAAGCTTCACTTTGTTTCAGAGTTACAGAGAAACAGGACATCAACGGATGCTGCTGCTGACATTTAATATGCAGAGCATATATTTGTGTGAGTGTAGTGTACAAGAGTGTCTGATGACAACACTGACATTTATTATAAATGGAAAATGTGAAAACAAATTTATAAATGGACATACTGCAGTAAACTGACAAACCTCTTGTAAAGAAACATGAATAAACATACAAAAGTTGGTTCTGAGTGGATCTACAAGTTACATCTACTACGTCACGTTACATATTTTCAAGTACAATAATTTTATACAATAAGTTTTTATATGTGAAATGTGAAAGGCAGAATTTTAATAAACATACAAAAGTTGGTTCTGAGTGGATCTACAAGTTACATCTACTACGTCACGTTACATATTTTCAAGTACAATAATTTTAGTTTTTATATGTGAAATGTGAAAGGCAGAATTTTTTTGCTTTCAAATCTTAAAATACATTCCCTTGTGTGTTTTTTGTAGTGGGTGTAACTTATTGTAGCTGATACAATAGTGCTGTGGGCCACAGACGGATACCCTTGGTTAATAGAGTGCTGCAGGGAAGATGTATTTTTGAAGGCCAAAACCTGGAAACGAGTTAGCATTTTAGCAAATGTGGTTACATCGTCCCAAATTCAATGGGTTTAAAGTTTTTTTCTTTTCTTCAACAACATAAAATACATCAATAATACCCACTTTGATTTTTAAAAGCTTTTTTCTTGCAGTTGCTGACAAGTTGCTAAATGGGACTATACTGGTTGTTAGGGACATTAAATGGCATCACGCAAAACAGGTAAACTCATCTACTCACTAGTTTGCTTTCACAGCCTTGTTGTGTTTATACTCACATTCTTGCAAGCTATTCTAACTCAGACTGTCAGGGGAAAATGTTTTTTAAATAAAGACTGAATAAGTTGTCGGAAGATTAGTGAGGGTGACGTTGAAGTCATGTAACTGTGTGGTTAGTTTGAAGCCTTTTAACTTTTGGAGATTGTATTTAGGCTTCAAATTCATAAAAGTTGCATTCGTTTGTGAAGGTCATGATAATGAACGAAATGTGTCACAGAGCTGCTTTTCTGCAATAATCCAAAAGCCAGTTAAAAAATCCAACTGGGTTTTTGTTAACAGAACTAGTGTGATACTAACTTTCGGGTTGGCTCACAAAAATACATAAGCACTGCATTGCTGTGATTTGTTTGGAACTATTCCCTTTAGTGGACCAAAAATACAAAAAGTAACTGGCAATATTGTGTCTAAAATGTAGGTTTAATTAAAGGGGTCATATGATGCGATTTAAATTTGTCCTTTTTCTTTGAAGTGTTACAAGCTCTTGGTGCATAAAGAAGATCTGTAAAGTTGCAAAGACTAAAGTCTCAAATCCAAAGAGATATTCTTTATAAAAGTTAAGAGTCAGCCACGCCTACCTAAAACGGCTCGTTCTAACACGCCCCCACATATCTACCTCACTATGTGGGAAGATTTGCATAACGCCGCCCAAATGTTCACGCAAAGAAAGAAGGTGTAGCTTTTATTCTCACTGTAGTATTGTTGCCGCGTTCCGCCATGTCCTGAAGACGCTGTGTGCTTCGTTGTGAAAGCGAAACTACTTTGTTTGGTCTTCCAAAAGAGGACGATATCTGCTTCGTCATGCCTGGAGCGGATCCGTGCTGGTCGCTGAGGGAATACATCAACTTAGTGCTGTGGATCGCCGGATCGGCTTTCACCGTGGACGAAGCCCGGGGTCGTCACATGTGCTTGCCGCTCCTTCGTCGGATCCGCCGGCTGCGCCGTTCTCAACCCCGCCGCCTCTGCTCACTCTAGCTCGGCCTCAGCTCACGCTCTTTAAACCGCATAAACACATTTCATTACACCAAATACACAAAATAATGTTCTTTTTAGCAGCATCATATGACCCCTTTAAATGAATGCTTTTTTAAACTGTTGCATAAAAGCAATGCCACACATGCAATAGTGCTGTGTTCCAAGAGTGCTAATAATTAGTATTACAGCACTGGGATGTTTTACTGTTTGTAGCACACCACTTTCGGCAATGTCCACCTATTTAAAAAAATGTAAACAGCCCAGGTGTGTGTGTATTTGTATTTTACCTCGACAGCTCTTCCCATCTCTTTGCAGCATTCCTGTCACACAGCTGCACACAGCGCCGGTTACTTGACTAGTGCAGATCTGCTCACAGCCACCATTATCCTCTTCACACCAGTCTGAATCTAAAACACACATATACACACACACTGTTATAGCTGTAATCACCTTGCTAATATGCATATACACAAAACACCCAATTATACACCCACATCCTTTTGCCTCCACTATTAAACTACACACACATACACACACTCACAGCACATGCACTCATGCACAAATCTAAAATACACTCCGTAGCCTACCTCTTTTTCTGATTGGTCCCACTGACAGGATCTGTTCTTTATGCTGACTGTAATCCGTATAACTTCGTTTGTTATGAGGGCAATTCTGTAAAAGCAAAAAGTCATTACAAATCGAAAAGAAGCAGTTCTTCAAGATGACTGATGGAGAGATGAACAAGCGAACCATATCTACATTAAATCATGTTTATATTTTTCATTTCAAGCCATGTTTTAGTGGCACATTATGAACCAACCCCCTTTACCACTGTCACTATTGTTTTAAATGGCAAAATGACTAAACATGAAATAAAAAAGGTGCTTGTCGATGCGTGTGTGTGTACAAGCTCTCACCACTTTGCAAGCGTTGGTCTCTGAGTCACACAGAGAGACGTCACAGTGCAAATGCACCTCATCGTAATCACCAATGAACTTAAAGACAGTGACGTGGAAGCGGCAGGTGAGGGACACGCCATTCTCAGCCATGCCTATAGTGTTATCCTTGATATTAGGACACCTGGAATTACAGTTATGCTATGTGAGAGCTGTAGACGCATTGGTATGTATATGGGTGTGTAGTCCTCTTCTGAACACTATTTGTAATATGTTATGTTAAATATGGACTGAAATGGTTGTTTTTTTATAAGCTATTTTCTTACCCTCTCTCTATGATAATGTAACGAAGGCGATCGCTGCTGTAACGAGATGGTGTAGCCCAGCACATGTTAACAATGAGAATAAGCTGTTTATGATCTGCTCCTTCCACAAACACCCCCACAAACAGAACGTCCCTGGTGCTCAGCATCACTTCTCCCTCGCGGTATGGATGCCGGTACGAGGCGTTCTTATACAGGGCCATTTTTGTGATGAAGTTGCCCTCTTGGGTCGGCAGTGTGAGGTTTATTACACTGTGGACAGCAGAAAAAAAGAGAGGTTATTATCTTTATCATTTGTCACATATCTAGCGCATCCAACTGTGCATTGTGCATGTAATATGAGATTATGTTATCTGCTGTGTTTGTTATTTATTATAATAAATGTGGTTGTTGACAAAGATAAAAAATATCAAAATATTAGGGTAAGGTATACTGTATATATAACCATGGAATATTACGTACTTCAAAGAATACCATAATATTACCTATGTAATCAGTGTTGGGGAAAGTTACTTTTAAAAGTAATGCATTACAATATTGCGTTACTCCATAAAAAAGTAACTAATTATGTTACTTAGTTACTTTTTATGGAAAGTAATGCGTTATGCTACTTTTGCATTACTTTTTAAATCTGGACAGAGCTTGTTTGTTTCTTTTTAAAATAAAAAAAGTTATATTTTTGGCAAATATAAAAGCCTTTTCACACCAAAAGTGAAATGATTAAGCCTCAGGCTGAAGGTAAAGTATATTTACGTCCGTACAGTAGAATGCAGAAGAAGAAATTTCAACACACTTCAGCAATAAAAAAAGACACAAATGTTTGTCTAGAGTAATTTTTGCTTATTAGTATGGTTGAACTGGATCATCGAAGGTCAGAAGCAAAGACATTGGTTAATAGAGTGGGATTAAATACATAAAGGATATTTGTGTTGTTTAACATTTAATTATTGCAGGTTTGTGTCATATTCTGAGTTGCATTATTTTTATTCATTTTGAGGAATACGGAATCTGTGTTTTTTTTTGTGTGTGAGTGAGATGAATTAATGCATATTCATATTTATTTTAGAACTACAGTAACATCTTCTGATTTCTCGCAAAATGGGGACAGGAGAGCTGTCAATCAATAAATTGGAAAAAAAAAAAACTTGCGTTACTTATTTGAAAAAGTAACTCAGATATTCTCTTGTAAATTAAAAAGTAATGCGTTACTTTCCTAGTTACTTTAAAAAAGTAATCTGATTACGTAACTCACGTTACTTGTAATGCGTTACCCCCAACACTGTATGCAATACTGTGGTAGTTTTTTGTAAGTGGTGAATGTGTCACAGCTGACCTGAGCATTGGCTTCAATACTGTCTCCAGCGAGATCTTGATGTCCAGTTCATAAGCACAAGAAAACTCCACGTTGATGGTCTTATCACGTGTCACTACATTCCCTGTGTTGTTCACACTCTCGATCCACACCGTGTTCTTGTACATAATATGTGTTCCATTTGACTGGACTCACAAATACACACACACAAACACATAAAATTTACTGTAAATTGAATTACCTTTCCACTGAGAATAACCTATTCAGCCAAGCAAACAGCACATCAAATATGCATACAATGAAAATTGAATTACCAAAAGCAAAAAGAGTATCTTCTGCTGTAAATCTGAAAGTCTAAATGATTAGTTGCAAAAGACCTTTCTTGAAAACCTATTTGGAAAGCAATTTCAACATTTATTGTGTACCAACCTGAGTAATTTAGAACTAAATTAGGAAACATTTAATAATCTTATACAGCAGACCAGTGAGCACCAATGAGACTATTTTGTCCTCAAATTCCTTTGGAATATTTTACAAAGCATAAAACTAACTTAAGCTAATTTTGAATTATGGATGGTTTAATGATTAAAAACGGTGCTTAACTCCAAAAACTCTATAATTTTATCTAAACTAAAACCTAACTTGCCGACTACACAGCACTTTCACTCAAAAGCAAGCACTCCTGCTTAAATTGTATTTGGGACGCACTTCATAAACGGCCGCTTGCGCACGACGCAAACCGAGAGAGACTCGTTGTAATGTTAATATAAACTGTTCAAACTTCAAACTTGATGATTTAATACTCAAATAAGCATAAACAGCACACTCTTAAATAATGCATTGCAATCATATGGAACCATTTCCATTTAGACTCAAAAAATGTAATTGATAATATTATTTTCGTCTGTTCTGTCCACCATATTGGAAGGCTCTTCATTGAACTCATCACAAGGCGGCAGCAGGATCTGCAAGAAAATGCCTCAGATTTCGTCGGAAATTGGTTTCTCAGAATGTAAATCTTATACCCTTTAGAAAAATGTACATTATGAATGTGTAATGCCAAAAAACTTTTTTGGATGTTAGATGACTAGTTTGTGAGGCACAGACAACAGTGAAACGAATACACGATGATTTAATACTCAAATAAGCATAAACAGCACACTCTTAAATAATGCATTGCAATCATATGGAACCATTTCCATTTAGACTCAAAAAATGTAATTGATAATATTATTTTCGTCTGTTCTGTCCACCATATTGGAAGGCTCTTCATTGAACTCATCACAAGGCGGCAGCAGGATCTGCAAGAAAATGCCTCAGATTTCGTCGGAAATTGGTTTCTCAGAATGTAAATCTATACCCTTTAGAAAAATGTACATTATGAATGTGTAATGCCAAAAAACTTTTTTGGATGTTAGATGACTAGTTTGTGAGGCACAGACAACAGTGAAACGAATACATATTCGCTTAAGCTGGTCCTAGATGGTCTAAGCCAGTGGTTCTCAACTCCAGTCCTCAGGACCCACTGCTCTGCACATTTTGTATGTCTCCCTTATTTAACGCACCTGATTCAGATCATCAGCTCATTGGGAGAGAAATCCTTGAACTGAGTGTGTCAGACAAGAGACACATACAAAATGTGCAGAGCAGTGGGTTCCGAGGACTGGAGTTGAGAACCACTGGTCTAAGTTATTGCTCGAATGTCTTTACGCAGATGTGCACCAAACCTAAACTTCTTTGCTTGTATTCACTTGTATGGAAATGGATGTGAATGGAACAGTACGTTTTCTTTACCAGAACCATTACTTTCTACTCTCTCAAGAGGCAGAGCTCATACTGTCTAAACTGACTCAGTCTGATCTTGAACAACTGTTAATGAGGGAAAGGAGGGATTTGTTCACCTGTACAATAGAGCCACAATGTCCCTTGGTATTGTTGATATGGAAGGAGATTAAATCCTCTCCCTCGATACCAGCACAGTGCTGGTCGTTAATTCGTACGTCTTCCCTCTCAAAGCCCAGCTGGAACAGACGGCACTTAGAGATAGAAACCTCCATCTGAGCGTGTTTACAGGTCACCTCTGCCTGGATTATGTCATCCTCACCTACGCCAAAAGGTACAAGATATAAGATCTTTTCTCTATATTTCATACAAGTTTATAATATGACCTTCTAATTTAGCAGTTAGCCTGCCACTATAACATAAAAGGTAACTAGTACAGGATAATGTGAATGGGTTTGATAATGAATGATTATAAGAACTTCAAAGAGACCCTATAAAGGATTTAAATTTATTTCTGCCACAATATGTCTTCTTTTACTCACTAATTTCAGTGCTGGGTAGCTCGGGGCAGCCACACAGATCTCCTCCATTCTCCTGCTCACATGTGTTGTTCGAGCAAATCTCTCCTGCACAGGGGTCATAGATCCATTCTGCTAAAGACAGGTCCAGTTACAAAGTTAGCACAGAACGTTTCTAATAAAATATCTGTTTTGCCAAAATTGTGAAAATGACTTGTGATAGTCTTGGAAGCTGGAACAAATCATAATAAAATAAATAATAATAATACAAATAATAAAATAAATATACATTTATTTTCCAGATACATGTAAAATGTACTTCTAAAAATGACAATTGAGCTGTGCTGCCTATCGCTTTCTACACTTCTATATCTTATCCAGTAGGTGGCAGCGTCCTCTTACAGCAGTTCTCCTGGGCGATCCACTTGGTGGTAAGTGTGCCGAAAGAGCGGCAGGCCTCAGCGTAGGCTGCCATCGAGCCGCACACCTGGGCCTTACGGTGGTTGTAGCAGCCGTCCATGTAACAAGACTGGTAGAAGGGGTGAGGGTCCAGCAGGCCGTGGCAGGGCTGGAAGAAACCTTTCAAATCTGTGAGCTTCAGACAGTTGTCTTCTCCCTGGAGCTCTGACACTGCTGTATTATCACAGGACTGAGCCAGGGCCACATACTGCGTCTCATCACAACTATAGGCAAAAGTCAGGAAACGGAGGATAGAAAATGATTGGCAACGAAAAGAGGACAGGGTGAAACTAACGAGATAAGTGATAAATATAAACCTGTTCTGCATGCCATTGGTTTTCCAGCTCTGAGCGAGCTCCAGTGCACTGACGGCAGGTTTTCCACGAGAGGTGATGTAATCATCAGTGGGGTCCCCATTGAAGTTCCCACACAGTCCACACACCTTGTTCTGCAGCCGTGGACCCATTGTAATGCTGAGGGTGTTGAATCGGTTATAACGCACCTGGATGTCCTGGGGAGTGTCGATCACCAGGAATCCCTCTGATGTGGATACTCGTGTCATTAGACCTGTGACAAAAGGTACGGACACAGGCGTACCATTTACCTGAGGTAAAAGAGGAAAACACTTAGCATTTAGCTAGGAGACATTTAAAGGGATAGTTCACCCAAAAATTTAAATTTGATGTTTATCTGCTTACCCCCAGGGCATCCAAGATGTAGGTGGCATTGTTTCTTCAGTAGAACACAAATTATGATTTTTAACTCCAACCGTTGCAGTCTATCAGTCGTATAATGCATGGCAATGGTAACAAAATCTATGAGAGTAAAAAAACATGCACAGACAAATCCAAATTAAACCCTGCGGCTCACAAACGATCGGTTTGTGCCAGAAACCGAACAGTATTTATATAATGTTTTACCTCTAATCCACCACTATGTCCAACTTCCTTCAGCACGCGCACGGCATCTGGTGCGTGAGGTGTGTACGTGCTCTGGCGTAGTTTACGCAAGTGATCTCTGGCGCGTATAGGTCACTCATTGTTTACACAGTGCACAGTCATTGCGGAAGTGTTCCCTGCCACTGTGAAGATCTAAAGATATTTAGACGTACAGGTCATCACAATGGAAGACGATTTTGATATATCAACAGAAGTTGGGAATACGTGGAAAGTCACCACTCTCGAATGAGTTTGCACGAGAGAATGTAATCTTTTAGTCGGTTTGAACAATGCGGATAAGCGCAAGTAAGTACCATTTTGATTAGCCGTCGTACCTACAATGTTTGTGCACGGTCTAAACAATGAGTGACGTATACGCGCGAGAGATCACTTCCGGCACTTGCGTAAACTACGCCAGAGCGCGTACACACTTCACGCACCGGATACCGTGCGCGCGCTGAAGGCAGTTGGACATAGTGGTGTATTAGAGGTAAAAAATTATATAAATACTGTTTTGTTTCCGGCACAAACCGATCGTTTCGTGTCTTAGGACATCAATGTGTCGTCACGAGCCGCAGGGTTTAATTTGGATTTGTCTGTGCATGTTTTTTTTACTCTCATAGATTTTGTTACCATTGCCATGCATTATACGACTGATAGACTGCAACGGCTGGAGTTAAAAATCATCATATGTGTTCTACTGAAGGGTAAGCAGATAAACATCACATTTTCATTTTTGGGTGAACTATCCCTTTAATGTCTTAATCATTACATAATAATTTCATAGTCAACATATAAAAATAAATTTTAAAATCCATCCTCTAATGCTAGCTCCAGTCTCCACTTTCCGGTAGAGCAGGGCTGGGCAACTTTGTTTCTGGAGGGCCGCTGTCCTGCAGAGTTTATTTCCAACCCCAGTCAAACACACCTGAACAAGCTAATGTCTTCAAGATCACTAGAAAGCTACAGACAGGTGTGTTTGATTAGGGTTGGAGGTAAACTTTGCAAAACAGTGGCCCTCCAGGACAGAAGTTGCCCAGCCCTGCTGTAGAGTGTAGCTCCAACCCTGATCAAACTCAACTGCTTATAACATTTTAGTAATCCTCCTGAAGACCTTTATTAGCTTGTTCAGATGTGTTTGATTAGGGTTGGAGCTCAACTCTGCAGGAGAGTGGACTTCAAGGGCCAGAGTTGAGAAATTTTCATTCTCAAAAACCAGTTTTCTCCTTTAAATTCTCCTAGGAAATTCTAGACCACTTCACCTGAGTGATGTCATGTCATGTCCCATACATTACTTGCAGTACAGTTTTGATGTTCCTACCTTAACTGTGTTTCCAGAAATTAGAATGTTCTCCTCGTTGATGTAGAGGTAAGCATGGGAGATGGTGGTTAGGTTGGGTGTACTCCACTTGTCAAAATTGGCAATGAGTTGAAAAGATAACTCAGGCAGTTTATGACAGATCGTTGAAAGAACAAAGGAGCATGAGGCAGGTAAACGAAGAGAGGCACCATCAAAAGTACGGAAGACGCCACCGCCTGATGCCACACAGTGTTGATTACGTCGGGCAAAGCATCCTCGCACACTATGACGTAGGACGCATTCCTCCTCTGCTTTACATCTCCGTGGGTCACACTGAATCAGGTTCCGTCCAATACACTGACAGCGTTTAGTGCAGTCACTGTTCCAGAACAACTGCTTAGGCTTAGAGACAGAGAAAATAGAGTGAAAACACTTACCCATACAAAAGTGTGTTAATATTTGGCTTCTAGGGTGTCCAGGGTGGTTGATAATTGATAATACTAAATTCAGTCTTTCTTTAACTTTTATCACTCTTATAATTTTAATGGAGCACACACGCTTAATAATGAATTAAGTCTTATTATTTCTTAATATATAATAATACATTTTGTGACTTGTTTTTAGCTTAAATGAAAAACAATTCCAATGTAACAAGACAATATGTCTTTTAAAATTTGTTTCCTAGGTAAACTGATTAGATACAGAAAAAAAGTGGGGCAGTTAAATAAGAAATTGGTATTGTATTTTGGTACTGCATGCTTTTAATATCGGGTTATTGTATTGGTTTATTTTATTAGATGTATTGGCTTTGTCTAGTTTTGTGACATGCTGTCTTACCTCATAGTATTTACCATCCGTGTAGCATCCACAGTTCTGACTGAGGATACAGCTCTTGCCGTTGAGCACATAGCCTTGGTCACACTGGCACCCCTCAACACAGTACTGGTTACAGTCTCTCTGTCCACGTGCGGGGGCACATTGCGGCTGGCACACCATCAGACAACTGGAATAGTGGCTGTTCACGGGGCACGACAGCACTGGGCACACACAGAGTTCATTGGACGGGTGAGCTTCTCCAGAAGTAAAGGGGAGGATGTATTGTATTTCACTGTAAAGGGCTTATATAAATGTGTGGCATTCATGGGGCTTTGATTGTGATAAAATGTCTTGTAGTTTTTATGTTGGCAAAACAGAACATTTGTAAATTAAGCCATGGTTTGTGGTTAACCAGCATAACACCAAGCATTAAGAGGTTTTACAATAGTGTTTTCATGTCAGCCCTAGAAGTGCAAACAATTTGCATCTAAATGCATGAAAATGACAATACTTTTCATAGCAGCCTCATAAATCTTTCTAAAATTTCAAATCTATTATTTCCTGAAGAAAATATGTATGGTACTTGCCCAAAATTGCTAGGGCATTTGGCTGGTCTAAGTCAAAAGAGGCCACACTCATGTCTCTATGATATTCAAATTTTTAGACACGAGTCCAGTTCCTCCTTCATTGTAAGTCTATGTTTTTTCTCTGATCACTTAGAAAATTAACTGCACATCTTTCTCTTAATAATCCACACAATTTACTGTAGAACAAACCCCTAACCTCAAGTATGAGAAATAATAGTTGTGATGCTTGCCAGAAAGCACCATGAATTTTTATGCAAAACAAGATTGTGACATATGAGTAAATAAACTTAAATAAACACAAAATATGTCTCACCACAAGGTGTGGAACTTCTCCAGCCAATGACAGATACTCCTTGTGCCTGACAGGTACTGGCATAAATCTGTAGCCAATTACAGATGGTCTCTCTCGCACCTTGATCTACACATGTATCCTGCAGACAGCTCTGGTAGAAGTATGCTGGTGCCACTTTGCTGTGACAGCGTGCAAACACACCTCCGCGGTCTATTATAAGTCCACATAATCGCACCGCCTCAGGTTCGACATACACATACAACCCTTCAGCAAGGTGGAAACGGTTTCCTGGGTTACCATTATCCATGTCAATGTTACCAACAGCATCTGTTACTTGGGCGGGGACCTCAGCAGCTAGGCCCCTCTCAGCCAATCCACAGCGAGGGCAAGAGTCCCCGCAACCCACTTGGCAGAAGGTGTCACGTTCTGCCCATGCCATGCCCCATTCTGTGACACTTAGTGCGGGACCAGTAATGGGCATCCCTTGGCAGAGCCCACAGGTGGCGTTAAAGAGACTGCGAGGAAGAGTCAGAAGCAGTAGAGTATTCCAATCAAAAGCCACCTGTAGAGATATTAACTGTGTATTAGCTTACACAGTGGATGATGTTGTAAAGTTGTACAGAATGTGTTTTACAAGCAAAAAGTGGTTTGCAATATGTATTTTGATTCATACTCCACCTTCAGACCAAAGTCTGTCTCCACAAGTAACTGCAGACCAAGGGAGTAGATGTTAACTTTCCCTGGACCAAGTTTTATAGGCAGATACAGGCGCTCTTTATTCACCTAAAAGAGATAAATACTGTAAAACATTGACATTTGTTTCAATATAGCAATCAAAACTGTTTAGTACATAATACATCCCTTTCAGTCTCATCTTCTGGCTTTGCTTCTTATATAATCTCATTTTATCCATTTGTTGTTCATTGTCTATCTATATTATCTAACAGAGTTCAAAAGCCAGTTTCATGATGATTCCCTCCGTCTCTCATTTTCTAACTTGGTTTTCTTCTCCCCTCAATCTTTATGTGATCTAAAGTTCCTCAGAACTTTCAGTGGTGTTGTGAACTCATTCCAGACGTCACTCAGTTATAAGTTTCCCTCTGTATCTGCTCCAGTGTGCTAACAGATGCTGGCTGAAATATTATACCCCTCACCTGAAAAAATGTACTGCTTTGTTTAGCTCTTCTGTCTGGTTGATTAAAATAACTTTGTGTCATAAAAATGAGGAGTTTGACCTTCAAAAGGTGGTGTTCTAGAATTACAGATGAATTCTTGTGATTATAAAATGTCTGCCACTCATGCAAATGGACAAAAATTGTATCAGTAGCTGTCTGTTTCAGGTGCAGGTGCAGAATTTTGTACTAATCCAAATCAGCTTTGGCTGCTGGATCACATCTGTACACACAAATATGAACATGCTATTTGTGTCACTCAAATTGATATTGAGTTTTATGCCAATTACAATTCTTGGACATGGACCGGTTTAAAACAAAGCAAACAAAAGCATAAGATTCATATTATTCATAATCTCAACACATAGCTCAGGACAATCTTACCGTGACTGTGTGTTTGAAACTTCGTGACACCTCAATTTCATATCCATAGACCTCCAGAACAAATCCCCACACCCATATAGCCTGGGCTGTGTCTCTCTCTTCATTCCGAGCTGAAAACTGGAACCTGGGCAGTCCTCCCAGAACTGTCTCTGCACTGTCTAGTCCCCCAAAGCCTTCCTCGTCCCCCTCTCCACACTCAGTAGTGGCCAGACGAAGAGTACAGCTGCTCTGGATGTCAAATGGTACACCGCCAAATGGCAAAAAGTGTCCATAACCAGCAACAACACACATGGCCACTGTCCTTGGCTGACAGAAAAACAGGCCTTCATTCTCCTGGCAGTACTCCTCTGGGTGACAGGGTGAGAAGGTGCAGTAGACACTGTTGTCTGTGCCGTTGCAGTAGCAGCGCTCCTGGCACTCCCAGTCTGTCCATAATGTCTCATTGGTGGCTAGCTGGTGGCCCAGGTAAAAGCAGCCACAGTCGCTACGTGCCACACAGATGCCATCACGGAGGGCAAATCCCTCTTCACACTGGCAGCCCTCTGAGCAGGGTATAGGGCATGGCTCCTCAGGATCATCCAAGTTAGAGCAAGTGAGAGGGCATGCAGATGTACACTCATCGAAATGACTGTTTTCTGGGCAAGGAAGAGCTAAAGAAAGAAAGAAAAAGGAAACTATGTGAAAGGGATAGAAGGTGCTGAAAATGGTAAAACAGAGAAACAACCAACACTCTTACGGCAGTTGGTAGCACTCCTCCAGGCTCCCAAGTTGAGCTGCGCATCCTGGCAAGCTGAAGCATATGCCTGGAGGGAGTTACACAGGGCAGAACGGTTTCCTTCCCTCACACACATGTTGTAGAGGCAGTTCCTGAAGAAAGGAGAGGGATTAACAGCTGTGTGGCAAGCCAGGAACGAGCTGTTTCCTGGGTCATTGATGTTTCCACACAGCCACGGGCTCTGGTACAGCCTTAAATCTGTACACATACGATACAAGTCCTCACAGTCGCCATTGCATGTCAGATCATCCGCAATGGCTCGCCAGCCTTCAATAAACTGTTCGGGTGTATCGGCCAGCCTTCCACTAGGTAGACGGAGGTCATCAATTGGATCTCCGTTAAAGAAACCACAAAGACCACAGGTGGTGTTGTAAAAGAGGGTGGAGAGAGTGATGTTTAGCAGGCCCTGACGTGAGTATCGGGTGCGGACTAAACCACTCCACTCAATCACCGTGGTATTACCAAAGGACCGGTATATCATTAAAGGCTCCACTGGATGGACATAAGGAAGAATAGCTGGTTCACCGTTGACCTGGGTGGAGAGGAAAGTTTCAACGTCATCAGCATGTCATACAATCAGATAACTTGGTCTGAACAATATGTGAGAATATATTGAGGAACAATCAAAGCTACTGTACAAGTAATGATATTGCTATAGTGAAGTGTCCCAAGTAAGTATCTTCACATCTTTCATCTTTCACAGACGGGAACTGACACTTTTTTTTGCAGATTAGAGGATATGAAAGTCACCACAAACCTTTATCATGTCAAAATCCAAGCCACCTATCTGTGCTTCCAAATGTCCCACCCTAACGACTACTGGCCGTAGCCATGTAGGGCCCTTATTCCCCAGCTTCCTGCCAATCTTCACCTCCAGTGATGTAACATTTGCAGGCAAGCGTCCCAAAGTCTTCACCAGGTAGAATGAGCTCTCATCAGGGAACGGCATTGTGGACCCATCAAACGTAGCCAGTATTTTAGATTGAGACAGCGAACATACTGCTTCACGACGAGGGTAACATCCCAACAACCCAACTTCTGCTACACACACCTCGCCTTCACCACAAGAGTCATTGAAGCATGTTACTTCACCTGCTGGGCCACACACACAACGCTGGGAGCATTCTTCACCCACCTCACCCCCTTCCCCTGCCCAGAAGGTCTCATTTAGGGCATAGTACAGACCGTCACATTCACATCCACACTCAGAGCGACGGACGCATTGGCTGCCACTAAGCACATAGCCCTGGTCACACTGGCAGCCCTCAGTGCATGGATGGGTACAGTAGAGGTGAGATGTCAGGTCGGAGCAGGAGGCAGGACATGCACTCGTGCAGACTTGGTAGTGGCTGTTTTCAGGGCATGCCAATGCTAAGAGCCGATGGCAAATGGAAAAATGCAAGGTCAGTTGAAAAGAGAACATAGAAAGAACGTATTTATGATAGAAAGTGAGAAAAGGATTAAATAACGTGTACTTGATTTAACCTCTAAAAGAGCTCTCTACGATGTCTGGACTTTATTGACATAAAATTAACCTTAAGGTCACACCTGAAATCACTCACCACAGAACGAGCGTGATCTCCAGGGTCGTATAGTAACTCCCAAGGCCTGGCATGCAAGTGCATATGCCTGTATAGCCTGGCACAGGGTGGTGATGTTATCACGATTGCTGCACATATCATAAACACAGCTGTACACAAATGCTGTGGGGTCTACCACAGCTCTGCAGTCTCTGAAAGGCCCATCAGTCTTATTGATCAGCCCACAGTAGTCTGAGCGAAAGTAGAACGCTTCGGCTGCCGGTTCACACATGCTACAGTTCTGGGCACAGCCATCAGTACAACGAAAATCTGTGTCCTCAGCTCGCCAGCTACCACCCAGTTCCACTACGCTCTCTGCCAAAGAGCCATCTGGCAACACGGGGTCATCTGCGGGGTCATCGTTGTAGTTACCACATAGACCACAAGTGTTGTTGAAATAAGAGCTGGGGAGGGAGATGGAGGCGTAGTGCAATCCGTCATAGGTCACCAAAAGACCAAAGTCTGTTTCCAAAGCGACAGCAACGCCAGATTGGTATACCTTGACAGCGCCTAGTTGAAGTTGAACAGGGAGAGTCTTTATCAAGCCATCCACCTGTAACAACAGAAACACAAAGTGAAAGACATTGAGAAAGGTTATATTGCCTGTGTCCTGCAAGAACAATTTAATCTACTAGGCTGCTATTCATACCGATTGCACAGTTGGTCAGTTTAGTAGGAGTAATAGCTTCAAATTTAAAGGACTGAAACATGAAGAAAGCTGACCTGCACAGTTCCCAGAGTCCCTTTGGGAAGTGTGACACGGTGGTTGTACACCTCTACGGTCACATCCCGTAGCCAGGACACAGTGGTCACACCACGGTTCTCATTCTTGGCCTCCACACTGAAGAAGGGCAAACCAGGCATTTCCCAGCATGGACGAGCCAACAGGTATGAGCAAGTGCCCTGGATGAGAGATCAAAAAAATCACATAGTTTTAGCCTACAGTTCTATACAAACCAAAAAAACCCCCAAAAAATCCCCACAGGTTATCAGCATGATATTCAGCTTGTGATAGGATAAACTTATAAGAGCTTTGGCATCTAGCATAACCTCTGATAATGGATATCTTATAAACTCAATGTGTGAAATATGATGATACATCCCGTAGCCAGGACACAGTGGTCACACCACGGTTCTCATTCTTGGCCTCCACACTGAAGAAGGGCAAACCAGGCATTTCCCAGCATGGACGAGCCAACAGGTATGAGCAAGTGCCCTGGATGAGAGATCAAAAAAATCACATAGTTTTAGCCTACAGTTCTATACAAACCAAAAAAAAAAACAAAAAATCCCCACAGGTTATCAGCATGATATTCAGCTTGTGATAGGATAAACTTATAAGAGAATTTGGCATCTAGCATAACCTCTGATAATGGATATCTTATAAACTCAATGTGTGAAATATGATGATCCTTATATTTTTGTTATATTTCTTGGTTTGGAAATTTCATACTTAACTATTTCCAGAATCATCAGTGAGCCAAGTGTACTTTTGAATGCAACATTCAGGGGAGAACAAGTCACCTATTCACCCATTATTATTAGAATGAACTATTACTGACTATTTTTAAGGAAATAGGATTTTAACCCTGTACTGCACCTGGAAATGATAAAGAAATCCATCGAAAGTGTGGTAATGGGGATCTCCAAACACCACACAGGTGCTGGTACGGGTAGGCTGGCAGTAGTAAGCCCCCTCCACCTGTTCACAGGTTTCTAACTGACCACATGGAGTTTCTTGGCAGATGACCTCATTATCCAGATCAAGACACCTGCATCGCTGAGTGCATTGGTCTGATAACCAGAAAACCTCCCCACGCCTGTAAAACCGCCCTGAAAAATAAAAGATTGTGGAGACAGAAAAAGATAAGTGTAAGATAGGGCATGAGCGGAACATGTTGAATAAAAAGTGTTCATGGCAAATAAACAAGGAGCACACAATTAACATAGGAGTAAAATATAAATTTAATGTATCAAATAAAGCATTATAAAACTATAACTATATAGTTTTTGTTGTACCAATGTAGCTGCAGCCATTTACTGGGTCTATCTGGTCAGCATCAATGCGGAAGAACCACCGTCCAGGCACGTTAACATTAGTGGTCTGTTCAATGTTGACCACTTCATTCGAGCGTGATCCGGGAAGGTTGAAGAAATGGCTGACATCCCCACCATTAAAACCTGCCTAGAGAGGGCAATCATAGCAGAGAATGATAAAGAGATCAATTATGTTGTGAGTTTTCAGAGGGTGAAAACATTTCTCAGGGAACTATCTGATGCAAAGAACCAGAACAACCCTGTAACAACTACAGCAACCTCTGTAACAACTGTTATATCACAGATGAGATTTTCAAGATTAGCCTACCTGTGCTGTGGTTCCTCCCAGGCCTGTAAGAGGGTCTCCTCCACTAGCCGTGCCTGTGCTCCAGCTGATCTCTCCATAGTTAAACATAGCAAAATAAGCTTGTCCATCGGAGATCAAAACTGCCTGAAATGTATTTACCTGAAAAGAAAAATAGAATGATTTTGTTGTGGTGGTGGTGATTACTGTGGTGATCACACAGTAAATGATGCTCATTAGCAAAGTTTTGACATTGGTCATGCAAATAAAACTCTTTTATTTAAAACGACTCACTGGCGTTGTCTGGCTGCCTCCATAAAAGGTGACCTGATTCCAGGTAGCAATGAAGACCCAGGTGGCAGTGAAGGACACCATATTCTTGAAATACTTTCTGACATCCTGAGTGGCCCTCTCCAGGGTCTCTGGGTCTGTTGTCTCACGGTAGTACACATCCCCACGGATACCATTATGCACGTCAGCCCATAAAGGGGCAATGAAGCAGCGGCTGTCACTGAGGGGAAAAGCCTCTGGAGTGAATTGACTCACCTGAATGTTGAAGGAGATCACTCCATTGTTGTTGACCTATTGGAAAATGTAAGATGGTGTGCTGTTACACAATTCACTGTTGAATTGAACAGCTAAGATATTGCATTGATATTTTGGCAGATTTTTCTCACAGTTCTCTTGCATATTTTGGACACTTACATAAAGGGACCTATAAGGCACATTTAAGAATATGAACGGAATTAGTAGTGGAATCTCTGAAGAACTGCCATCATCCATCTTAGGGGTTTCTAAATCCCTGTGAGCTGGTCCAAAGGGGTAGAGGATATCCTGAGAAAAAGCTAAGTAGGGGAAAAGGAAATGTGGACAAAGAAATGCTAAAAGGCATTGATCAGTTGGCCCTGTGAGGGTGTTTGAACATATTGTGAAGAATGGATTTAAAAAATGTAAATTCAGTGATGTGTCTTTTTGCATAGATGTAGTACATCATAAGCTGTATGCCTATTGAAATCTGAAAATTCTTTTCAGAATGATTTTGGGTTCTTACATCAAAAGGCTGTAGTCTTTTTGACATGATTACTTATTGTTTGACTCTTTATTCAGTGCCTTGGCTCTTTTTGTCCATTACTCACTGTTACATCTAATGCTCGTGAGGTGTTGTGGAGGCAGGAGAGAGTTTATAGGTAGTACAGAGTGGACATCACTTACCTCCTCTGGGAGCAAGGGTGCTGAAGAGCTGGAGAAGAGAGACTAAAGTGCCTGTTCTGACCATCCTAAACACCTGAGAAACATTGAAATATTCATCACAAAACAGAAGTGATGTTGTAGTGCCACCAGCTCTCCAAACATAAGTTATTTTAAGATTAAAAACATTAATTGTATAATATGAAAAAAATAGCATGATAATAAACCTATTTAAAGAAATAAACAACTAGGCCGACACATTGGTCTCCAATCTTCCCTGGTTTAAAGAGCAGGCTCCCAGGTCTCCCATGAGGGCATTCTGCCCCTTTCTCTCTCTCCATGGTGGGCCTGTTCGCCCTGAGCTGAAAAGGTTCTATTATGTGATGGGGAACAATGTGTTGGGATCACATTCTCCAGCACTACCGTGTGAGTGGGCTATGGTGATGCAGTTCCAGGCCTCCACAGTGCCAATGAGCCCGCGGCTGGGAGAACTTGCCTTGCTCCTCTCCATCGTCTGAAGGGTCCATTACTAAGTGTTTATGTGTTATGACTTGTTGGCATCAGAGAAAGGGCTGTGAACAGTGAGGCTAATGGGTTTAATTTAGCAGGCTTGAGTTGCCAGGGTCTTTACGGCAACCCTGAGGAGCTGAAGTTTGGGTTTCACTCCCTTTAGATTCATCTAGCCTTAGTGTGCCAAAATAAATGGACAACCTCTCAAATATCAGATGATGGAAATGATAAGGATAAAAAATTTTTCAGATGGTAAAACTTTCAATTGGAAATGTGTTAGGTTGACCTATATTTTGATGAGGAGGACCAAATGCCTTTTAGAAAGTGCAATGACAAAACAGATAATAAGCAATAGCAAGCAAAACTCGATTAAACTGATACATCCAGTATAATTCAGTCTTAACGGTCCTTGACTCCACAGAAAACTTGTCTTAAAATAAACAACCTAATACTCAAATGCAAACCCAAAAGGTCTAGTGTGTTATTAAATAATTAGTATTTAACTTATATGCCATGTGTATGGCAAGAAAATGTATGTTATATAATTTAGTTGTATTAGGGAAAAAACACACAATTACATTGCCTATTGTTAATTATGTAAGCTCTTCATAGTATCACAAATCCAAAATTATGTTGTCAGATTTGACTCAACAAAACGTACCAAAGCTCACAATGTCATCATAGCTCAATTAATTAGGACATGTTATCAAATGTAAGTCTAATTAAATTTTTCATATTTCATACAATGTTTAAACCTTGTTTAAAAGGAATCGGATGATCTGTGCCTTTGCCTAGTAAGATAAATATCCAGCGTTAGCAAATTAAATTTAGCATTGCGCTGTTGCATAAAACTATCATACAGTAAAAAAAGTTTCCTAACTTAAATAAAAAAATCAGTCTGAAATTAATTTAATTAAAAAATGCAAGAAATTAGCAAGAAGAAAAAACATAGTTACTACTAGTTTTTTTTTCTAGAAATCAGAGGAAATATGACATTACATTTCAATGCAAACAATATCAGGATGCCATTAATTATAACATTCTAAAATTGGCATGCAAACAACCGTAAATTTTAATTCAACCTGCTTGAATTAGGAATGGATCCTTAAGTCATAGTCTTAAGTGTACTATTTCTTCCTATTGCCAAATGAGAAAGAATATCCACCTTCCAACATAACTGAAATCCAGTCTCCTGAATAGAACCTATGTATTTTGGACAATGTCCTGTATAACATCTTCTGTCATGAAACCACAGCACAGACAAAACTGGCATTTGATGGGATTCCCAAGTGAACCATGAGATACTGTGTGAGATGCCAACAGGTAAATCCATTGCTCTCCACGTCACATTACATAGACTGGCAGAGTTCATTTGGCTAACCTCTCAGCAACCGATCTCAAACAAGCTGCCTGTCTGACGACTGGCATTAATACCAATGATAGATGTTATCAAAATTACTTAGTTACCGATTGGAAGTTAAAGCCTATCATTTACATTTTCATGCACAAAGTGTGTTTCCAAAACAAAGAGAGGGAAGGGAGGTGTAAAAGAGGTAGAGAGCACCTGAACATCACTTGTGAAAAAGGAGTAAAAGACAGTGAATTTGTCATAAGAAAACAAGAACAAAACACAAGAGCTCCTGTTCAGAGACCACAACTAAGAATTCAGCACTCACCTGCCTTCATAGGACGGAAGTTCAGCATGTCACCTGTGCATCAACTTCTAAGTCACATCCAAGTGGGTACCATCAACGCAGTCTCAAGAGTGGAGGGGCACTGCTCTTGGATGCAGAAAAGGGAGGGGAGACTGCCCAGAAAAACCCTCCTAAATCCTCCACTCACACAGAGTGCTGTGCTGGTCTAATTCCACCGGACAACCGCCAAGGACAAGAATGGCAAACACGGCCCAATCCGTGCCTCAGGGTACGCTTGATTTCAAAGAGCAAAAGTCTGGAGAAAGTGATCCCAGAATGAAAGGACAGAGGAGGAGTGAGTGTGTGGGTTCCCTGTATGGCTCTACTGGAGGGAGACGCATCAGAGGCAGGCGCTAACTTTTGCACCAGGGATAGTGTTAAAGTTAATCTGAGATCAGTTTTTGGGGAAGGGGGAGGATAGGAGAGGAAAGAGATAGGGGTGGGGATGGAGAGAGGGGTTGAGACTTTCGAAAGAGGGAAAAACTAAGAACAAGAGCAGAATGGTAAAGAGAGAGTGGATAAAAGAAGGGGGGTAGATCTGTGGACCAGTGAAGGGTGGTGTTTGGTAAGTAAATAAAGGGAAATATTGAAACTGTGCTGTAAGCACAAAGAGGATTTCTGAAGAAAATGTGAGGCCTTTGGACTGAACCCCAATTCCCTGAAGGCAGCACTCTCCATAACTAGTGCACAGTCCACTGCATCTCTTCAGGGGCTCTACGGCCCACCCTACGGGCATTTATTTACAAAAGGAAACACAGCAGAAAAACATTGCTTTATTTGACTGAAAAAAAGGGAGAAGAGCTTGGGTTACCGCATTAACATGAATCAACTTGGACACTCTTAAGTATGTGCGTGTGTGAGTAAATCAGTGTTCCCCCTCCTGTCTTACTGGGCTCCCTGCACCAATTAAAGACAGCCTTATTTGCAACAGCTCACTCAACCCTGAGTTGGTCTCCAAATAGGGCTCATTTCCATAGATGCGTTGGCGAGATACAACAAAAAGGGGGGAAATCATTGGTGCATCCATGGTGATATGGTCTGGGAAGGAGATGGTAGCGAGATCTGAGTCAGACTCAGCATTGTTTCTAGGAGGACAGTGGACGTAACTAGATACTGGAGGAAGGCAGGATGTGTGAAAGCCGACTGGACGAACGCAGACCCCAGATTCCCTGTGACCAATGTGGGGGTCCCAGTGGAGGGTTCCTTTACACCTTGTTGCTTTGTTGTGCAAATGCAGCCCATACTCTTAACTAAACTAGTGCACAACAAGAACAGATAATTTGACAAAGAGCGCAATGTGGTCCCAGACTGACTGTTGGACAGTTGAATCATCTTGTGCTGGAATGACCAGACACAGAAAAAAGAAAGAGTGAGTAAGGACAATGAGGAGACATCAATCCGCTATCTTCTCACCATCGTCTCCCTCTGCCGTTGTAATGAGCTTACTAATAGGGTTTATCATTCAATGTCTTGTCTTTATATTTGTCCCTCATTCTTTTTCATGTTGACCATGTTGACAGAAATGTTGTGGTTGTGGAATAGGTCAACCAAGCTGAGATAATCCTACATCTTTACAACCAGTTTCAGTCCCACCAAGAACAAGAGATGGCTATAAGCTTGGCGATAAGCGTTAACTCCACTGTCTGGGTATTGGGAGTCAAGTGTCTGATCAAATGTAATCGCAAACTGTCAGCTCCATCAACCACCTGCCAACCAAACCTGGCAGATCCAAATCAGGCTGACCGAATTACCATACTGTCATCGGGTACAACAAGGACCTTTGGAGTCATCAAACCATTTCTGTGGGAAAGGACTCAAGCATAGTTGGACGCACTAACACTGTAGTTGCTTGACGGTAGGTGCACCAGGCCTGACCCTGTAAGCTGGAAAAGGCCCTAGACTAGACCCTGGCTGGGTTATCCAATATCTTAATTTTCATCCAAACCCCCTTGATGCATCCAATGCCAAACAGTTGCCTTGCCCTCATTTTCTTTCCTTTCCTCAACAATGTCAAGCACCCTTCAGGTAACTCAAACCTTCTCAGAAAACATCTCCCCCTCCTGGCCACACAATGAGCCTTTTTCAGCGTTCCTTGCTCTGTGATGCACAGGGTAGATCAGGCTACCAGCTGCCCAGCCAGTTTTTTTTGCTCTAGCTACAGAGTGAGGTGATAAAAAAACTTTCTTAAAACCCCCACCTATCCAAAACACACCAAATCCCTTAGCAGCTCCCAGTGTGACCTTGTCTTTGTAGCCCACCCCTGCTTTCATGCCCTGGTAACCCCTTGTCCCTCTTCCCTCAGATTGGCACAACTCTCGGTGTAGCCGATCCACCAGTGAACTCCGTCTACTGCTGCACTCTGGGAGGTTATGCTGCCCAGTAGTAAGGCCACTAAGGAGATGGAAGTTTTAAGCCTTGGTTGGACAGAGCTGTGCGTGAGTCTGCGAGTGTGACAGTGATGCCAGGCACGTGTAGCTTTCACCTGTAGGCGTGACAGGGATAGGCCAGCACTTCTGAATGTGGTGAAACCAATTAGGCATGATGCTTTTTATCAGCCAGACTGTTGCATTGATCTGGCTGGATAGACTCCAGTTGAATGCTAGCATTTGCCTAGGCTCTTGGTGAGGTCTCTGCAGTGGCTAGTCCCTAGTGTGAGCTGGGTAAAATACACAACTACGGCAACAAAAGAGGAACAGTTAGAAGAAAGCACAGCAAAAAACAGAAAAGGCAATAGGCAAAGGTAACCCTGGTGAAGTAAACAAGTTGCATGGTTAGCTTTATCAGAAAGACCATGCAGGTTGTTATGCTGTACCACTCAAGTTTTGCAAGTTCATGAGCTGGGCCAAAATAACTGGACTTTGGATTAAAACAAAATGAGGAGCTAACATGGGGGACCTCTGCTGTTAACATCATTAACATCAACATACAATCAAACGTGGTTCATGTCAGATGTAATGTTATGTCCACTAACAATAAAACAATGCAATTAAAAAGAGAAACTTCATTACCTTTGCAGCTTGGGGGACATCAAGACTAAAAGAATTTCATGCAAAGCCTTGGCTGCTATTTATTTGTAACATTTTTCAGAATTGCATTCAACAGAATTTCACATAATGGTAAATACCATTACTCGTAACACTTATCACACACTTTTACAACGATATTGCATGTCAGTGTTCGTATAATCATTAACGCTGAATTAGTATCCATGGCACGAGCCAATAGCCCTCTTTACACTCAGAAAAACACCATTATACAGACCAAGCAATAAGTAAAGATGTCAGCACCTGCTCTGTTAACAACATTTTGGCGTTAGAGGCCAGATGTCCTTAGGGAGCAGAACAGAGAGGATCAAGTGTCATCACCACAACCACAACACAATAAGAGCAAAATATGAGCAATGAGAAACTTGTAGAGACACAGGCACTGCTGAAAGATGGGATAAAGGGGATGCTGGAAGCGAACACACTACAGTTTGTAGATGAGAATAAAAGCAAACATGCAGTTCTAGTGAGACATTGGCATAGTGCAGGATTATTATCCAAATGGGGCATTATGGGGGTTTGCGATTATCAGTGAAGAGTAAAATTAGACAGGGAGTGAGTAAATAAATGTGGCAACAATATGGTATAATCATAGGATTTGGACAAAAATATGACACTCAAGCTCAATTTCCAGTAATAGGACACAACTGAAACAGCGATGGAACTTTTAAGGATAACAGAGTCAGATTAGAGTGCAAACAGAAGCTGTACTTCTCTGTGATAAGACAATAACAGATCATCAGTGTGGCATATGTGGTTACACTGAAACAAAGCTGTCTAAATATCTGACAACAATATCCATGCAGACTCTTCTCCCCATCAATAGCACTAATATATATAACCTCTTTAGCTAATCTGAACCCCTAATGGATTCTGAGCTCCCTGTTAACACCTTCCGCTGGGATAGGGTTGCATAGGGACAGCTTGGTAACTAGAGAGGGAGTCTATACTATATCAGTCACTCCAACATTAGAGCCATTCTGCAGAGAAATGGTATGGGAATGAATAGGACAAACCCTGGTAATCCAATTCCTTAAACGTATAGACTGGTATGTGCTGACTGTGGTTAAAAAAATAAGTCCACAAAGACTGAATGTTAAAATTAGTATGTATCTGTGCAACACATTTATATTTCCCATTTAGTTTTATATTGAGAAAGGGCATGGTTTAAGTTCAACAAACTGTTCTCTTTGGGAAGGGAACAGGTATTTAAAGAATACGCTGACAGTCATTTGCAAGATATAAAATAGACAAAATGAGGTTATTTGTGTATGGCTTCCCTTAACATTTCATGCTTAACAAATGACAACAAAAATATCTTCAACTTCCTTTAAACCTGTAATATGTCAAGATTTAAAAGAAAAAAATCAAAATCAAAGTCAAAGTCAAAATTAAATATATCAGTGTTCCACATTTCCTTTTTTTTTAAATAAGCCAACAAAAAGCATATCTACTCAGTATAAATTAAATTAAATTAATTTTCATTATTATTGGTCCCCTTGGGTTTTCCTTCTCTGTAACATAGGCATGCTAATAATCAAATGCAGATTTAAAATCCAACAGCACATGATCTGTCTTAAACATCAGTGAGAGTATGGCACCTACATAATCCAAAGACTCTTTCCACCAGTGAGAGAGGTGACTAGGGGATTGCATTCGGTCTGAGGTCATAAAAGGGAGAGCTGCTTTTGTGAATGTAAAGTGTGTAAACTTTAGAAGGCTTCAGGATTGTAGGTGACCCTGTTGTAATTCAAGCAGAAAAGAAGTGGCTGGTGTTACAGCTGGAGTATAGGGTTCATTTTCTATATGCCCCCACCCCCCGCCAGACCACCATCCCGCCATCCCATCTCATGACCTTAACACTATGTTAAGGGCACAGGCAGCCAAAAGACCTAAGGCGCTAGTATATTTAATTTTTTAACTAGTATTCAGTCATTTTGATATCTTTCAATTCTAGCCAAGATGTCAGAAGATGTTACCCCGATTCACAATGGTAAGTTGAAAATAATGATTTATGAACTTTCTGATTTTGCAGGAAATGTCACTTTCACATAATTTGTCTTTGCGTGGCTACATGACGTCTGGCCAAACATAAATATGAGCAACATAAATTCAATGAATCATTCAAAAATTAAACCATATAAGGATTCATCTTCCACAACAGGGGAAGACAGTTACCTGCTCAAAAGACATTGAAAAGACATGGATATCTGTCTTTTTAGATTCCTTCGTTTTTTTTAGGAGGGGGCTAGCTTTGATATTGATAATGACATTTGCCCTTATAAAATGCACACCGGTACCTCTCAAACCATCATATTTATTCATGATAAAGAGCTGAGCTGAAGCTCAACTCACATAATTACTAAAATAATGTTCATCCGTAAGTAACTTGCACTTTTACCCCTCAGCTGCAAGAGGGCCAAATACTCCATACTGAATCTTTACTGAATGGTAAAATACTCTTTAGAGTAGAGGCATGTATGCGGTTGTGGTGGGTAATTCCTGAGAAACAGTCTCACACACACAAAACAAGAAAAGTCCACACATTTTTTTGTCTTGTATACATACATCCGCAGAGCAGTGGAAGTTAAAAAGGTCTTTTTTAATTCTGATCCAATGTCTCTTTTTAGGGACCATTTTTAAATAAGATCGAAGATGCTGGAAAACCAGACTGACAGTTTTTCTTTGTCCTAAACATAAGGCATGCTCATTTGTGCTCTGTTCACAGAATTCACATTGCCTTAATTGGAAGATGGTATTCCAATAACTCTGGAAACCAGTCATTTTTTCCAAACAGTGCTCAGTTGTTGCTCTCTTTTCTGTCACTGTGTCTTGGGCACCACCAAGATTTCATCTCCATCTCGTATACTGTAGGAATGAAGTGCTCGTGCTCCATATTTCATCTCCTGAGGATCTAGTGCATAGCCAAGCTGCCGGTCGATATAGTACACACGCATCTTGTTTGGAGGTAGCTGGACCACAGCCCTCAACTGCTTCTTTAGGTCTGCCACTGTCTGATCCAATCTGAGCTCTAGGGGTTCTGCCTGGTGCCCAAAACGCACCTCTACCTGGACATGGCAGAGAGGGCGCAAATCCACCTCTGCAAGTGGGGCTAGGCGGCCATAGCGTGCTACCAAAGTGTGATACCTGAAAAGAGTGGACAGCAGTGAGAAAAAGAGAACCATGTTAATTTATCCCATGTATTATATTTAAGCTACCCCATTTTAGTTAAAACAGAAATACTGTCAAGAAACCAAGAATAGAGAGAATATACAAAAGCTCTGTTCCAAAAATCTAGTGAACTGCCTAGCTAGAAAACATTTTCAATAAACAAAAGTATACTGACAGAAAGTTTGTTATTGCAGACAGTAGGCAGCAACATTTTGCTTCCAAGATAACTTAAGTTCTAACTGTAACCAATACTATATTGAAATATGCAGAGTTGCTACTTATGTAGATTGCTCCTATTGTTCCAGTTCAGTCAAAAGTGAGGTTTCATGTCTTAAAGGTGAACTACTTATGTAGACTAACAAGTCAACTAGGATTTAGAACAGAGCTAATGATCTACGATGATATATGCTTGCAAAACCTGGTATGTGTACACATAGAGACGTCTCACCCCTGTTAAAGTATTAGTTCACTTCCAGAATAAAAATTTCCTGACAATTTACTCACCCCCATGTCATCCAAGATGTTCATGTCTTTCTTTCTTCAGTCGAAAAGAAATTAAAGTTTTTGAGTAAAACATTCCAGGATTGTTCTCCATTTAGTGGACTTAAATTGGAGCCAACGGGTTGAAGGTCCAAATTGCAGTTTCAATGCAGCTTCAAAGGGCTCTACACAATCCCAGCCGAGGAATAAGGGCCTTATCTAGCAAAACGATTGGTCATTTTCTAAAAAAAGTAAAATTTATACAAAAAAAAGTTAAATTAATATACTTTTTAAAAACAAATGCTCATCTTGCACTAGCTCTGTGGTGTGTGTCCACAGCTTCACGCATTGCCTAATCACGTTGGAAAAGTCATGCCTGGTTAGTTCTTCGTCTGTGTACTTCAGTTCAAAAAGGTAGAGTAGGGCGAAAAATTTAATCTCCGTCATTTTCTCATCCAACTTCAAAATCGTCCGACTTTGTTTTACCTTTTTTTGTAAAGGGCATTTGACTTTTTTGCATGTTTACTTTGTAAACACTGGGTCGGTACTTCTGCCTACATCACGTGTGTGTGACTACGTAATGTGTGAGGTCAAACTAGTGCAAGATGAGCATTTGTGGTTAAAAAGTATATCCTTTCTTTTCAACTGAAGAAGGGGGAGAGTAAATTATCAGGAAATTTTTATTCTGGAAGTGAACTAACCCTTTAAAATGTGTTTTTGGTGAAGTGGTCAGGAATTTATTGTGCCATCTCTCAGAAATTAGTTTTTGCAGAGTGGGACGTCTGCATATGTCTATTTTCATCAAAAGTGTCAATTACCCTCAACTGTCTAAAAAAGACAACTCCTCTAAACAAAAATAATGTCAGTGCACCATGGAAGTGACCAGAGATCTGTGTGTGTGTGTTTGTGAGAAGATGCGGTTGTGTATCTGTGTACCTGTTCGTGTGTTTGTGAAGCACAGTGAGTTTTTAAACCGTGAGAAAGTTCTCACCAAACCCCGTTTACCCTCCCTTCTTTCCCCTCTTGCTGAAGGATTGTGGGAAAGATAAGAGGAGATCGGCAGGAACAATTAAATAAAATCTCCACAAAACAGTCTTTTAGCTTTAGAGGGCTACAGTAACCGACACAGCCAATCAAAGTAATTTCCCCAGCCTTGTCCAGAAAAGTCTCCCCACAAAGCAGAGCCTGAGCCTGGGTAGGTGCCTGTGGCTCCCTGCCTTCGCCATGGGAATACTGCCCCCTCTACACAAAGTGCCACTCTGTCTGAGAGAAAGAACAATCTCACTCAAGGGTCTCATTTAGTGTGGCTAAGCTCCTTAAATGAAGGCGAATGGGTGTTCGCTGTGATAACATAGCTGCCTTGGATTCCTTGAACAGTGCTTAGATCAGTCTCGGAGATGGGACCAGACAGTCGCCACCATGCAGTGCACCAGGTTCATAGTAGAGCCATACAGTGAGTCTACTGTAGATGCTGCCGTTGTTGATGCCCTCAAAAACAACATGATCTGTTTTCAGGTAGATAACATGCACACAATCACAATTAGCTCAAAATTTTGATATCTAAAACTTAACATGGGTACCTGTCTGTTTGAAAAGTGCAGCAGAGACACAGAACCTTAGCCTTTGTTCACACTCCACACAACTGCCATTTGTGCTTTCCCATTTTTAGGACTGACGGTCAATTTTGCATCAGTTGAAATCAAATCTGATTTTAAGACTTATTTTAAGTGTAAGCAATAACTATTCACAATTTGTACAGTGTCCCAACTTTTTTGGAATCGGGTTTGTATATCTACATGGGTTTCTATAGTAACGATGTAGGTGGTCACATGAGACCAAGAGCACCGTTTTCTTTTCCAACAACTGAGAGTCAAACAAGACAAAATACCAGTAAAAAAAAGGTGATATCTCTGTATTTTACACATACATCTCAATAAATTGGAATGTCGTGGAAAAGTTCATTTATTTCAGTAATTCAACTCAAATTGTGAAACTCGTGTATTAAATAAATTCAATGCACATAGACTGAAGTAGGTCAAGTCTTTGGTTCTTTTAATTGTGGCGATTTTGGCTCACATTTAACAAAAACCCACCAATTCACTATCTCAACAAATTAGAATACTTCATAAGACCAATAAAAAAAATTTTTTTGGTGAATAAAACTTGCTCTCATCTGAAAAGAGGACTTTGGACCACTGGGCAACAGTCCAGTTCTTCTTCTCCTTAGCCCAGGTAAGACGCCTCTGACGTTGTCTGTGGTTCAGGAGTGGCTTAACAAGAGGAATACGACAACTGTAGCCAAATTCCTTGACACGTCTGTGTGTGGTGGCTCTTGATGCCTTGGCCCCAGCCTTAGTCCATTCCTTTTGAAGTTCACTCAAATTCTTGAATCGATTTCTCTCGGTTGGTTGTGCATCTTTTTCTTCCACACTTTTTGTTTTCCCTCAACTTTCTGTTAACATGCTTGGATACAGAACAGCCAGCTTCTTTGGCAATGAATGTTTGTGGCTTACCCTCCTTGTGAAGGTTGTCAATGATTGTCTTCTGGACAACTGTCAGATCAGCAGTCTTCCCCATGATTGTGTAGCCTAGTGAACCAAACTGAGAGACCATTTTGAAGGCTCAGGA